GCAAGAGCACCAAAAGCTAAGATAAACAAAAGGGATTACATCAAATTAAAAATCTATTGCACAGGGACAGCTGGGTGGCTCAGTTGGTTAAGTGGCTGCCTTTGGCTTGGGTCATGATCCTGTAGTCCTGGGATCTAGTCCCACATCTGGCTCCTTGCTCGGCAGGGAGCCTGCTTCTCCCTCTGCCTCGGCCTGCTGCTCTGTCTGCCTGTGCGCTCTCTCTCTCTCTCTCTCTGACAAATAAATAAAATCTTAAAAAAAAAAAAACTATTGCACAGCAAGGGAAACTATCAACAAAACAAAAGTTTAACCTACTCAATGGAAGAAGATATTTGCAAATCATACATTTGATAAGGGGTTAATACAAAAAATATATAAAGAACTTACACAACTTAATATCAAAAAAAACTAAACAACCTGATTTTTAAAAAATGGGCAGACAACTTGAACAGACATTTTTCTGAAGATCTACAGATGACCAAATGACACACGGAAAGGTGTTCAACATCACTAATCATCAGGAAAATGCAAATCAAAACCACAATGAAATACCATGGCTCATCTGTCAGGTATAACTGGCTATTACCAAAAAGTCAAAAAATAACAAGTGTTGGCAAGGATATGAAGGAAAGGGTACCTTCATACACTGTTGGTGGGAATATAAATTGGTGTATTCTCTATGGAAAGGAATACGTAGGTTCCTCAAAAAATTAAAAATAGAACTACCATATGATCCAGCAATTCCACTACTAGGTATTTACCCAAAAAATACAAAAACACTAATTTGAAGGGATAGATGCACCCTTACACTTATTGCAGCATTATTTACAGTAGCCAAATTATGGAAGTAGCCCAAGTGTCCTTTGATAGATAAAGAAGATGGGGTATGTGTGTATATGATTAAATATTACTCAGTCACAAAAAGGAATGAAATCTTGCCATCTGCAGTAATGTGGATGGATCTAGAGAGTATTATGTTGGGTGAAAGAAGTCAAATACCGTATGATTTCACCTGCATGTGGAATCTAAAAAACAAAACAATCAAAACAGAAACAGACTCATAGATACAGGAAACAAATTTGGTTATCAGAGGGGGAATGGGTTGGGGGACAGAGGTGGGCAGGCAAAAAAGGTGAAAAGGATTAAGAAATACATACTTCTAGTCAGAAAATAAGTAAGTCATAGGGATATAAAATACAGCATAGGGAACACAGTCAATAATGTAATAATAAATTTGTATGGTGACAGATTGTAGTTAACTAGACCTATTGTGAGGATCATTTTATAATGTATAAAAACATCAAATCACTATGGCATGCACCTGAAACTAATAGGATATATGTCAATTATACTTCAATAAAAACATACTGCACAAAGTTATGAGGAATATTTACTTTTCTCATTAAAAATGAAGAGAAACAAAACATAAGACTGGTATCTTGGTATCTACATTATGATGGCTTTATTGTCACTCATATCAGGATTGAGATTATTGAAATATAATTTCAAGAATATTTCAATTAAGGTATTCTTCAAATATTTTAAATATTACTTGGAAGCTACATGTCATTACTAGTCATTTTCTTGACTAGGAGCCTGTGATGATAAGTTTTATCCACATCTGTCATATGCTGTTTAAAGCCTACCAGGACTCAGCTCTAAGCCTTGGTTTGTCTTTATTCCTGGAATGTTTGTATCTCTCTGAAAAATCCCTACTCACCTCTTTTAGGATTTAGTACAAACATCACCTCCATGTAAACTTTCCATGTTTATTTCTTATCTAAGAGCTCCCCGTTAAGGAATGAATAAAATAAGTTGTAAATTATAGAAAGAGTGGAACATTACACAATTGTTCAAGTGAATAGCGTCAAGCATATCATGAATAAATTTCAAAACCCAATGTCAAAGCAAAACAAATTTCTATGTATTTTTAAATACCCAAACAATAGTATCTACTTCATTCACATATACTTGCATTTATAAACAGTAAAAAATATGCATGGGGATGATATACATCAACTTCACAAATGTCATGACCCCTACAGAAAAAGGAAGGAGTATGAGAGCATGTATGAAGCTTTAGCTATGGTTGCAAAGTTTTTATTAAGAGTGGAATGATGATGATAAAGATGAGGAGGAGAAGAAAAGGGAAGAAAAAAGAGAGGGAGAGCAGAGGGAGAACAGAGGTGAGAGATGGGAGGCAGGAGAGGAAGAAAGAAGGGAGGGAAAATGAGGAAGCAAAGGGGGACAAATTGTTAATATATGTTTAATTTCAATGGTGTATACATAAGTGTCTGTAATATTTTCTCTATTTTTATTATGATTTGAACATTGTTATTTAAAATTTTAATCATAATGTAAAAAATAACTGTAATCCCTCTATTAAATTTCAGGAGAAAAAATCTTTACTGACTTGATCATGTACAGTGGTAATATTTAATAGTTTCCACTAATTTTATCCAATATATACTGACAATGGCATCATAAAAATTATCAAAACATGCACTGTATTTATTCCTTATGTGTTTGGTTTTCATAGCAATCTCTGTGTGATAGGAACCTGGGATATCTTTGGCTACATGATTCCAACATCTCAGTCTAATGAGTAAGATAAAAGTAGAATGCCTGGGTGGCTCAGTGGGTTAAGCCTCTGCCTTCAGCTCAGGTCATGATCTCAGGCTCCTGGGATCAAGCCCCGCATCGGGCTCTCTGCTCAGCAGGGAGCCTGCTTCCCTCTCTCTCTGCCTGCCTCTCTGCCTACTTGTGATCTCTCTCTCTGTCAAATAAATAAATAAAAATCTTAAAAAAAAAAAAAAGTAGAATGCAGCAGAATATGTAGATAAAAAGGTGAAGGGAAAATCTCAGGTAACAATAAATAGGAAGGTAGATAGTTAAGTGTGTGGATGGATGGATGGATGGATGGATGGAACAAATTTAAAGGAAAAAGTCACATTCTGTTATAAAGATGCCTAGAAATTTTCACCTGAGACATATATATATAGACTGTCATCATTTGTTAAATGACTTAATGTATAAAGCCTATATATTATAAAATCATTTTATCAAGAAAAGTATGAATTCTCTGTAGTATTGACAAATCATTCATTCATTTTTTCATTTAGTCATGACCATTGCCTACTAAAAACTTAATCATTGATTAGTTTGAACACAGTTTCCAAATGCGAAAGTTGATTTTATTCAAGTGATTTAATGAAGATTTATTCTACCCGATGGAGATGTTATTTTGGGAAAAATATTTCTATATTGTTTTACTGAAGAAGTTTATTTACTCTCCTCAGGTGTTAGTGTACTGAATGAGAAGGATACTCTTCCTAAATATTTTTATATGCTCCATTAACAAGGTCTCTAAATGACAATAATAATATCCATCAAAATAAAGTTAAATGGACAGACTAAGCTTTTATTTGGGAACTATTCATCAGTCAACCACTATATGCTAGTCACTGTTAGAAACTCAACTAAAAGAAAATGAAGCCAATCCTTTCCCTAGAGAAATTTACTGTCATTTTCAACAAATCTAAATTAATGGAATTTCCTTTTTTCCCTTCATACTAGAAGTCAATAGTTAAATAGGTAATTGAATTGTTTACAAAATAACTACATCAACACAAATATCTTTGCCCTCAAAAGAGTGTCTATACCACAGAAGTTCTCAACTTTGGCTGTACGCTGTAATCATTTGTGGGACACTGAATAACATATATAAAAAGCCTGGATCCCACCCTCAGAGTTTCTGATTTAATTGTTCTTAGGTGCAACATGGGCACTAGGGTAAGGAAGAAGTTCCCACATGCCAAGGCTGCCTAGTGGCAGGCCCTCCTGCCTGAGGGCATAGCCTTCCATAACCATGGAGCTAAATGCAAAGAATGTTAAAAAAATTTTTTAAATGAGGATATTCACTAGATATAATATATTGAGCTATGTTTCACCTTTTCTTTTTCACATCAACTCTAAAATAAGAGCTGCTCTTTTCATTTTAATCCTCAGATACAATAACAATTCCAGAATTACAAACTTTCAACACATTTGTCCTTTCATTAACTCATCCAATCAATCCAACATCCTAAAAACCTAGAAACTTCAAACCTCTCCCTCTTCTACAAAGAATCTAGCATTTCTTCTTTCCTTAAGAGAGCTACGCAGTTAATTATAAAAACTGCTTTCTTTCTTTAGCATTTTCATATGCCAAACTGTGAAGAAGTAAGATGGTGCATGTTTCAAACTGCCTCTAGCTATAAAGGGGAGAAAAAAAGTGAAATAGGCCTTGTTAAGGGCTTAAAAGGCTTGAAAAATTCACACAATAAGCCACAGTTCTTGATTTCCACTTTCCTCTATAGGAATGAATATTAGGTACGATAGTAAGTATTTCAAGGTCATGTTTACCTAATTCTAATGAAGCAAAGCATAAATTTCAAATTGTTAACCAATTGCAGGGAATGAGTGGATCATTTTTTTCCAGAAGGCAAGTAATTAAAATGGAAAAATGTGTTTAGTGTTAAAAAGAAACTAGAATGTTACTATATTAGATAAGGGAGCAGTCCATGACCACATAATGTCATTAAAGTGATCGGAAATTATGTGGTCCCGTAAATTGCTTTATTTCCCTCAGCAGAATATTAATTTCAGGTGAGTAATTTAAATTGCATTAACAGCGGACTCCTTAAGATGACACTTCATTTAGTCTTGAAAGTTGCTGCTGTTTAAGATATCCCCCCAGCCTGCCATTTCACACTGGTGCTAACTTGTGCCAGATTGTATATTGTTTTTCCAAAATACCATGGGGGTGTCAAATGCTTTATTGCAAACCTGCTGCTTTATGGGAATATGCAATGTAAATAAACCAGAGAGACACTTCTGTAAATTGCCCTATTTTAGATGGAAAATGTTTCAATTAGATGTATGAAATCAACTGACAGTTTTATGAGCCAAATCATTTTGGAAATATCCTTCACATACACTGGATATCATTGTATTTTCAGAGACCATATGGTATAAAGTAGATCCACAAGCTCTTCAAGGACAGGTAAACTTAAACTCATCATGAATCTTGATTCCAGTACCTGTGTCCTTTTCACTATCAAATATCCAGGTAAGACAATTTTCAAAGTTGCTACTTTGGTGAAAAGTATCAAAAAAAGTTTAATTATATGTCATGGCTATTTTCTTATAAAAACAAGGTAAATGCATATCCCTCTACACTTCTATGGACCACAAATCTAGTAATTCAAATATAGACAGACCATGAGAACCTGGGCTAAATAGATAACAAGGGCTACAGGGTAAAGGATGAGTTTGTATAACTGCTGCTTTGTGAAGACCCTTGAACATCAATTTATAACATGAATCATCTTTTGTGTGAAAACAAAATTTTCATGAATGGCTGGATGACATTATTAAAAGGTTCAAGATACTTTAACCTAATAGCAAATATATTATACAATTGAAATTTACCTCTGACCTCCCAAGCCCTCCTTGAGAAAAGGAAATGTTATCAATCGGATACCAAGTCATTGGTTCAATCCCTCCTCTCTAACAGATAATTCCTCTTCCATGCCTTTTTTTCTATTATTAAAGAAGGTTTACAACTGCCTTTAGAGAAATGTAACTTTTTTTTTTTAACAGCACAAGGTCTTTGCTTTCTCAATCAAAAATCCTGTAATTTGCTTTCCTTTTCCCCTATAAATTTCCTTTTCTATTCAGCAACACCTCTCTCTTAACGCTTGTGCCTGAACTCCTGGATTTGCTATCTGGCTGCTGCTTTCCTTGCCCAGCTGCTCTCTTCTTCTAAGCTATACCCATGCTGTTCAACTCAGTTGCCATGCTACTTCACTGTCCCTGACTGTTGGATGCCTCCTGAATCAACTTCATATTCCAAGGCCAATTCCAAGTAAGGAATTTCAGGTTGTGGATTCACCCCAGCCAACCACTGATTTGGCTGAACACGTCTCTCTCATTCTCATTTTCTGCAGGATGGAAGAGATTTTCTCTCTAAAAACCCTAGCTTTTGGAAAGCTTTTGGCAGCCTTCCCAGAAGACCACCTGCAGGAGTAACCCTTCTAAACTTATTTTACCATGCTTCACGTTTACTTCCCTGAGAATTATCCCTGCCACCACTATGAAACCACCGAGCTACATGAGATAGCAAAGCTGCCTGCCACCCAAGGGGTGATAAAGGGTCAATGCACATTCTCTAACACACTCAAGAGGAGAGATTTGAAAACTCTCAAATAAATGATGACAAAGAAAGATTTCAGTTATACATCAGGAGACCAATATCCAAGCAAATTACATACAGCTATCTGAAACCATCCTTAAATTATGGATAATCCAAAGTTAGTTTCTGTTAAAAATACAAGAAAAAAATAATCTAAAAAAAAAGAACACATTCTCTTTCTTATGAAGGGGATCAGAATATGCCCCCCACATATGGCATTTTGGCATGATTATTTTGAGCTGAAGTCAATTAAGAAAGAACAGATACAAGAACTCTCTGCCTCCCCCTTTCTGCCTAAAAACAGGGTATAAACTTCCCTTTGTAAAGATGTCCCCCACCTTTCCCTTACAAGAAGACATGACTCATTATGGTGACAGCACTGACTTAAACCTGGATAAACAAACCTTACTCAAATAACCTTTGCCTTTCATTAGTTTCCTCCATATGCCTTCCCACAATTTACTATGCCTAGAATCTCAAATCCCTTTTCCTTTGTCTTATAACTTTTCCACAATTCATCACCCTGTATATTAAAATGGTATATAAGTCCTGGGCCTAATCATGTTTCTGGAGTTTTTACTTCTTTTCTGTGACACTCCTGTATGCATGCATAACAACCTTTTTTTTTTTTTCACATGAAATTTTCATTTGTTGTTTAATCCACAAGCTTCATTCACTGAACTTTAGAGGGTATGAGAAAAGCTTCTTCCCTTTCCTACACTTATAGTAATCATAATTACAATCATATTTTTTAATCCTTCATCAAAAACTAGCAAAATGCTCCAGAAACCTGGCATTTTTCTTTTATAATAATGAAATGATGCAAGAAAATGGAAGGAAAACATGAATAATTTTAAAACTGCCTTTGCTATGACATCTTTACTGTACTTTCTACCATGTGTATGTTGCTTTTATGATGCTTCTTTAAAAAAAAAATGTAGAGATGAGGACTACTCTAAATGAAAAAGTTTTTAGCCCCAACTCTTGATAAGTATCATCTGGGTCATAGGTCACCGTTGTCTTTACACACTGTGTAGTAAACAGCAGCAGGAACCTAATGACTGATGTTCTACTCGCAGGGGCTGAGGAGCTGACAGAAGTAACACCACTTAGTCTCTGAGGAACTAAAGGCAATTTATAGGCTTATTTAATTTAGGCTATGTTGAAATGACATTATAAAGTTGTAGGGGAACAGACTGTCACCTTATCACGACAAATATGGAAAACAAGGCTCCAAAAGAACAGAGGAACTCAGTTATATGCCAGAAGAGAAGCAGCTACTGCTTTAATATGCACCCCAAGCTGACAGAGTAAACTGTCAAGTAAGCCTTCATTTTGACATGAATCTCCCTTGCCCTTTATATATAATGCCTTTAGCCCGAGGTGATACCTAAAGTGATATGTGCTCACCCCTTCAAATATGGTCAGTCTATAACCCAACTTTCAGAAAATTATTTTCCCAACAGAATACAGCTCCTTTTCCCAGGACATCTTCTAATTCTTAAATATCATTAGGTTTAGACACAAAAATATGTGTGCTCCTTAGGGATCCTACTTGATAGAGCAGAAATGTTTAATTTGGGGGGGGGGATAAAGTAAACATAACATAAAATTTACCATTTCTTATTTTTGAGTGTTGAGTGGCATTATATACATTCACACTGTTGTGCAACTGTCACCACTATCCAAATCCAGAAATTTTTCATCTTCTCAAAATGAAATGCTGTACCCATCAAACAATAATTCCCCATCCTCCTCCTCCCAACAGTCCCTGCTAACCATTATTCTTCTTATTTTCTCTATGAAATTCACTATTCTAACTCATACAAATTGAATCATAAATATTTGTTTCTGTATCACTAATGTCCTCAAGTTTCCTCCATTTTACAGCATGTAAAAGAATTTAATTTCCTGTTAAGGCTAATAATATTCCATCATATGTATATATGCCACATTATGTTTATCCATTCATCCGTTAATTAATCGATCCCAGGATCCTGAGATCATGACCTGAGATAAAGGCAGACACTTAGTTAACCAACTGAGCCATCCAGGTGCCCCAATATACCAGTCTTTAAATAGACTATGCTTTCTGTTTCTTAGGTAAAAATATAGAGGTGGAAGGGTGGACCATAGTAAGCGTATGTTAAATTAAAAAAAAAAATGGTTCAACTATTTCTCAAAGTGGGATTTGAGAAATTTTACTACACTATACATTACACCAGCAATGTACAAGAGTCTCAGTTCTTCCACATTATTGTCAGCACTTAGTATGGTCAGTCTTAAATTTTAGCCATCCTAGTGTATTATATTATCTCATTGTGGTTTAATTCGCATTTCTCTGGGACTAATAATGATGAGTGAGTGTCTTTTCATGTACTCATTTTCCATCTGCAAATCTTCTTCAGGGAAGTACCTGTTGAAATCTTTTGTGAATTGTTTGGATAGGTTATTTCTCTTCTTATCATGAAGTTGTAAGAATAATGCATGGTTTTTACGGCCATATGACATATATCATAAAATGGACATATGTCATATATTGTCAGGCTAGTTTTACAAATATTTTCTACCAGTCTGTAGCTCAACTTTTCATTTTAACAGTATCTTTTAAAGAGCAAATGTCTGAACATTGATGAAGTCCAATGTATTGATTTTTTTCTTCTGTGGCTTGTGCTTTTTGTGTTATAGTTAAGAAATCTGCTAAACCCAAGGCTGCTAATATTTTCCATTTTCTCTTATGTATAATTAATAAATTATTTTTAAAATTTATATAAATAAATTTTAAATAGATAAATAAAATTTAAATAGATACACCAAAACAGGAGGAAGATCTTAACTATCCAAACCCTACCTCGAATTAGTGCTACAGAATCTCCATCTTTAAACTCCCTATCCCTGATGGTCCTGTTGGCCTAAACAACTGCACTCTGAAGAAGGCTGACAATTTCATACATTCACAAAGTCTAAGAATGGGCTAACAGAAATTGGTGTCTTCAATAAAAATTTTCCTCCAGTAATGCCTCTTCCATCAGCCCATCTTTCACCCAAACTTGTTCTTCTTTTTCAAAGACTGTCATCATTGTGTATAACTACTTTACTACTTAATGACTTCCTTCCTCAGGACAGCAGAACTAGAAAGTCCATTGACTCAAACTGCAAGGAAGTTTCTTGGGGAAGAGAAACTCATAATTCAACAATTTTAGTCAAAAAGTCAGAAATGTGTAATCCATTAACTAACAAATCTTTACAAATAGGAAGTAGAGTTAATCACCGAATCCAAAAGAATCAAATCAATTTGCCATCTTAATCTTAAAATACTGAATGGAAGCCACATGGAATAAAATAAAACTTTTACTTATATCTTTATTCCAAAGGACCAGTATTATTTAATAATTAATAAAAACATCCAAACATGACTGGGTGCCTTTGCACTTCTAAAGGGTAATATTCAAACAAGTATGAAAGTTTCCTTCCTTCTCTGAAATTAATTCTCATTCTCATTATCACTGTCTTTTCAATAACCCCTGGCAATAAGTAAAAAATATGCCTTTAAGCTAGTTTACAATAGTGACCAATTTATTATAAGAAAATACGGGTATCACATAGAGCCCAAGACAGACATAGAATGTTATTGATACCCAAGGCTCTTACCCTTTATATCTCTATCTCAGGCTATATGATTTCACACATCTGCTTCTCTTAGAATGTCCATTTCTTCACTAAATACATTTCTCTGATTCAGCACGTACACTGCAGATGATGTCTGCCTGACAACTGTTTACTTATCTTTAAGTCAACTGACCAATCTATGGTGTTTCAGTATCTCTCAATCCCAATTCTTAATTAGTAGGAGAAAGTACCCAATTGGTTCAGCTTTGTTCATCTAAAGTAACTATGACCCAGAAGACAGGATCACAAGATACATACCTGACCAACAGAGCCCTTCCCTGTGTGTAAGGGGTAGGGAGGAGAGAGTTCTCCTTTGATGAGCGGATGATGAACTGAGGAAATATCACATAATGTGTCCACTACACACATGAATAAATAGAATTATAAAGTAGAAGTCTGAATGTTTCTAGGGATCAATAATTAATCTAGAGATGAGGGCTTCTAGATATCCATAATTAATGAGTGTTAAAAAACTTGAAGCACTATTCATGTACTCTTGGTGGTTTCATCCTTTAATTATACCAAAAGATGTTATATATAGGAAACAAAAATAATGACTACCCCATAACTGGGTAAATATTGGTTTTCCTAGCTATTGACTTAGAAAGACAACCAGAAAATTTAAAATATTCTAGAAATGTTGGCAAGATAAGACTTCAAAGGAATTCAGCAGGGGACTTCTGGTTTCACTTCTGACATGCAAAATCTTGAAAGTGGTCACTCTCATCCTTACAACAATAAAAAAATTGAACAAACTAAAAATGAGTAATTTTTCTTGGACCCTTCAGAGAACTATAGTTACAGAGAAAAACCACCCCAAAACCCAGAGTGACAGGCATATCCAAAGATATAAAGCAACTGAGATCTGTTCCTATATCAGAAGCCACTGAAACTACAAATGGCTAGGAGTACTTACATGGTAATTCTGAAGAATTGCTGGAGACTGAATGTGGACTGGTGGGAGAATAAGAAAGTCCCCACACTTTCATAGGCTTTCTCTCTAGGAATACCATATGCCCCCACAGTAAGGATTCAAGAAAGATCCCCTCTTGGCTTGGGCAGTTAGAGAGGAAGAATAACTACAATGCCTTCTTTATAAAATAGACCTGTTCT